ATGACGAGACTTTCTGGCAACAATGAGGAAAGATGAGGAGCACGATGGGAACAAAAGGGAATCTTTTGGTTTGGTTTCTCTCAATGAACTTATGCCAGCTAGGGAATCTTTTGGTTTGGTTTCTCTCAACGAACTTAGAACTTAGAAGAAAAAAAGATGCAAACAGAATCACAATTCAAAGTCACACAGTATGCCCTACTTGACTAGGCTCCATGTTAATTTTGTTTTCCTTTCCCTTTGCCTCCACCTTCTTACCTAAATTGAATTTTCCCTCACTTTGCATTTCTGCTTCCATCTTCTCCGATTTCTCTGTCAAAAAGAAAATAACAAATCTTTAATACTGTGCAACAAGAATGAGCAGAGATCGAAACAACTATGGGACAACGTCAATGTACACCATTATGGCCAGGTCTTTGTATTATTTTCAAAGTAATCAGTGGCAGTAGTCAGTTTTCACTGTGAAAACAGGAAGGAAACTAAAACCACCTGTTATTTGATTTGAGCCACCAGCTGAGCGACTGGCAGCCAGCTGACCTCTCACCGATTCTGGCAAAACAGTCTGTGAGCAATTTACATTCTTTTCGCTGAGTGTTCGACAAGTTTCAGCTACTTGGTTAAAACAAAAGAGAATAGAACATCATCTGCCTCAGTAGTTAAACAGTCTTTGGAAACCACTGCCCCCTCCGGCCCCTCCCTCCCTCTCTCCTGTATATTACGGTAGTCGGTGGAGTTACCGAGTAGTTTTATTTCTAAACGAAAGCAACCATTGGCTCTAGACTGAGATAAAGTAGGTGTAAAATGCACGACTGTTGTGATTTGGAGTAACTGGTCTATTAATATTAACTTCAATTTGTCCTTAAAAAAAGTGCAGTGTGCAGTGAAATGACACACCCTGAGTAAATGAGCCCTGACAGGCAGTGAGAGGTGCCAGAGCACAGAACAGCCGTGAGGGATAATGGAAGGAAAAAAAAAAAAAAAAAAACCTTTGAGAAAATTCTTCTTTTTTTTTCTCAGCCGAGCACAGATTTATGTTGCAACGATTTTGAAATCCACAAACAGGTGATTAACAATATAGTGTAACAGAGTAAAATGATCATTAAACTCTTTAGCATTATCCTCAGCATTATCATTAAACCCCCTCCTGGGGCTGTCTCCAACAGCGTTGACAGTTTTAATCGTCTTAAATTTAACCCTTCATCATCTTCAACATTATCAACAAACCCTCCATCATCCTCAACATTATCATTAAACCCTTCATCATCATCCTCAACATTATCATTAAACCCTTCATCATCATCTATCATTA